TCTGAATACCCACAGGATTTCTGATGGTCGGAGGTAGAATGAGGCCCAGGACATTTTCGAGGAGGTTGCATAGCTGACCTGTCCCCTTTCGGTCAATTTAGATTCCATCCAGTAGATCCTCTGCGATGCGAGGATCAAAAGAGAGGAACATGACTTCATTTGAATGAGAATCAAGGCCGCTCAAGGAGGGCATTAAAGGCATGCAAGAGAGCCTCCAGTACATCAATCTTCTTGCAGAGATCGAGGACTGACACATTTGAGTCTGGGAAGGCATCAATATGTTTAAGATGAAGCAACATCTCGTGTTCCCGTATAAATATAATTTTCCTTGCAAAATATTGCTTTCAAATATCTTCCCTGCAAGAACTGAAGATATCGGCCCGTATAAAGATATGAAGATATCGGCCCACCCTTATACCGATTTCCCCCACTTCCCCCCTCCCCCCCAGAGGCCAGAATTTTATGGTTTTCTCTTTGTCTACATATCTTATACACCGCCCCATCCATCAAATCGTTTGTCCTCGAGCAACTGTGCCTTTCGCTGCCGGATAGACTGTACTCCTAAAGCTCTCAGATAAGCGTTTGTTCTGCTGCCGCAATGCCCGTGCTTCATCGTATCCAAACCAGGAAATTTAATGTGAATATTTAGCGGAACTCGTTCAGAGTCTTGAAGATTCAATACATCTATTCTTATTGTCTTTCAACGGATACCTGGTTATTGGAAGGTATCGAGAATCGAAAAAGCCAACTACGAAATAGAATGAATGTACCCACGTGACCTCAGTGTCCACAAAAAGTGACCATATTTCGGAAAAAAAGACATGCGCGATTTGTACACTGAGTAACATAATCCCTACGTTGCAGGTTCCTACCACTGTTGTCTTCCTATGAATCGCTTCTTTCCGGTGATGCTTCGCCAGGTCGGCTTGTAGAAAAAAGTTCGTATTCCAAGCGTTTTACGTTATCATGGGACCTAAGGAGATAAGAAGTCCTTCGCTGTTTGAATGTGATTGAACCCATGAAATTCGAAAGGAAGATCCTCAAATTATTGCCAAGTTGATAGGTGTGAGGATTTGTTAAATTTGGTTGATCTATGTGGGCTGGGGAAATTTAGCTGCGGAGCCTTAACAATTTTTAAGGAGTAAAATACCAAACTGCAATTGTTATTGTGTTACGATTAGCTTCTGACGAGCCTCAGAACCAAAAGGTGCACCAGTATGAGGAAGAAGTAATGCACGAAGCCCGTAAGACAATTGGTCGGGCCCAGGACTATTTGCTTCAGGTCATGGCCCAAACAAGAACTCCGCTAAAGGTTGAGGTGTCTGTAAAAAAGAAAAATACAATAATAAATAACAATACAATTAAAAATTAAAAACTCAGAAAAGCCCAGACTGGACTGGATGGTTCATTAGCCTAACGTTGGACTTTACATGACTTGCCAAAATGGTGGTGAAGCGGGAACATCATTTTTTTTAAATTTTCCTCTTATACTTGTATGCCTGATGGAAGGATGGTAAGAACTGTGCACCGTGAATAAACTTCAGGTTCTTTTCCTTTAAAATATGATGTCAGTGCAATCTTACAGTCACGAAGAAGCATAAAAATGGAATATTTGAGATTTGAGCCGCTCAAGATAGAGCCATTATAGGAACACATTGTGTCACTTTAGGTGCAATTTTTTTTATTATCAGTGGGAAACTTCCACGTTTGACCGGTAATCCAACCCTGGATTTGGCTATTACTTTTTTTTGGGAGAGATGAAATCGTAGGACTTAGAGCGTAAATTTTTCTTGAATATTCGGAGATATATTTTCTAAAAAATTTGACACCTTAGGGCAGTGGTTCTCAACCTGGGAGGTGTCACCCCCCCGAATGCATGAAGGTTCAATGGGAGTAAAAGGAAGGCTGAGAACCACTGCCTTAGGGGCACTTCGAGCATGTTTACCCTATCTGGTCCTTGGTGTCACATTCAACATCTATCGGTGGTTTCTATTTTAAGAAAATGTGAGGACTTTTTTGTCCCCCCTATGGTGTATCATGTTTGGGGGAAATATCTATCCAAAAAAAATCTTTTGGAACCTTTTAGTTCAAAAGAATGTCTCATGTTGTCAAATAAGAGGTCGAATTTATCGAAATTGGCAGGTTTCATTACTTTAATTATTAAAAAGTCGGATTCAGACGAACAAGTTGCAACTTATGGCGTTTTTAGATCTTAGGCAGGCTAAAAATGACTGAAACTTGGGAATATCATCCAAATGTAGGTACTATTCGCATATTTCTCACAGGGAATATTTTAGTTTTCCCAAGGTAAATAAAATTTGGCCATGGGTGACGTTTTGAAAATATTTTGAATTTACGCGTACATGAATAAGCATTACATGAATAGGCATAAAGCAATGGATAAGCATTAAGCAAGGAATAAGTATTAGTCATTTCAAACTGAATAAATATAATTCTGGAGTTGTGCTCATATGACAAATAGTTCATCTCACGACAAATAAAAATTATTTGAGGTCTGGTCAAAAGGGCTCCAGAAGATGTTAATTTCCGAGAAAGTTCGAGTTTTTTTTAAGGATGGTTGGTTGGATGGTTCCCCATTACCACGATTTTTTTAAAATTATCTTTTAAGTTTTTATTATTATTATAGACACTTGAACATATTTATATGTGGTTTGATCGGAAAATTTTAGGACATGACTTACCGTTTTTTGTGGGCTGGGATCTTGGAGTTACTTGCTGGGGTCACTTTCACAGTAGTCCCCTTGGGAGTCCACACACCTCTGTCAGCGGTTCTGCAGTTTCTGGAAGCATCTTATAAAGTCCTCTATTGGAAATTCTAGAAGTTCACGCGTCGCATTTGTTTTGATAGTCTGGATGCCCTCAAATCTTCGGTCTTTCATATGGATTTTCAACACCACAGAGCTTGAACACCCGCCTTATTCGCCATATCTGGCTCCTTGTTATTTTTTCCTGTTCCATAATCTGAAAATACATCTGAAAGATCGAAGATTTGAGGACATCCAACTATCCAAACAAATGCGACGCGTGAATTTCAAGCCTTTCCAATAGAGGACTTTATAAGGTGCTTTCAAAAGCTGCAGGATTGCTGGCAGAGGTGTGTGGATTCCCAAGGGGACTACTTTGAAAGTGATCCCAGCAAGTAACTCCAAGACCCCATCCCACAAAAATGGTAAGTCATGTCCTACAACTTTTGGATCAAACCTCGTACTTTTGCCAAATTTGAATCGTTCTGACTTGGATTTATCCACGTCTTTTTCGAGCGCATTGCGCCATATCTCTCTTTTGTTATCGATGCCGTGTCCCTGAAACGAGAGAACATCTTTCGTTGACGTGCTTGTGATACAATGTAGAGAGGGGAATGTTTAATCAATGGAAGGACTTCAAAATTCCTGGTTCTGTGCATCTGTCTGCCTGTCTTGAGAAAAGATCGCATGCAAAATATCAGTCGCAAAATATCTTAACCCTTTCAGGCCCCACGTCCATTCCAATGGACATTGCATTTTCATTGTTCCTATGGTAATTTCTTGGGATTCTCGTGACTTTGCGCCCCATATTACTGTACAATGTACTCACCCACACAGCACAGGGATATCCCAGAGATGTCCCTAACTGGACGACTTGTCCCCATGTCTTTATAGGATATCCTGAAGACATCTTTCGGACGGTTTCGGACATCTCGTAAGGGATGTCTTCGGGACGTCTTCGAGACATCTTCAGTTGATATCTTAGAGATATCCCTATCGGGATATCTTGAAGATATCTTCAGTCAAACGCTTTTCGATATCTTGAGGAGGATGACTTAGGGACATCTTAGGGATGTCTTTAGGCATCTTCAGTGCTCTCTGTCGCCTTCAGTAAGGTGCATACCTTCGACGATAGATGCCTCCCGTGAGCCCTGATCTACAACCTCATATCTTTTCTATCGAATTCATATACTTGATTTGTCCTGAGGAGAAGTAAGGATTTTCGTATCATACTACGTACATAAGGAAAACTGCCACCAGGGAAAGTGAAAAAAATTGTGGTCCGAATTTTAATTTATTCCTTTATATTCTCATTAATGATGTCTATTCGGCATGTCTGGACACGACTATATTGGTTGGAGGCCTGATCCCATACTGTTTGAAAGGCATAAGACATCATTACAACCGTGACCCCTCGTGTATCAAAAGTGCTAAATTTCGTCCCTTGAAGATATGTCTCCTTCGGGGCCCTCTTTAGAAACGGTATTTTCCTCCACCTTAAACGTCACCCTTCATTCGATCAAGAACTTTAGATTAGGTGATCCTAGATATAATAGAGACATCTACGAAAGCAAAGGGTTCTCCTGTGCGGTAGGAAATGAGTCCATTGAGGACAGGAAGGCCAGAAACGACGAGTTCAGGAAAAACGCAACACGTTATATTCATGCCCTGGTGGCATATTCTTGGGGGCTAACGTTTTCAGGTATTTTTTTGTCCTGGTGTATTGAGCTAGTGTGCAAAGATGAAGCTAGGTACATAATTACCTACTGGAAAGCTGCGTGCATAAAAATTCCGACTTTGGAATGAAATTCCCAGGGGGCATGAATTTCAAGGGGAGATGTTTTCACATATTTGTGGTGGTGAATTGGACAGAAATGGAAAAGTGAAACTTGGCACACGTATCATTGATTTGGAATTATTGAGTTGAGAGAGTATTCAGCTTTCATGGTTCATCCCCTCCTGGCTTAGCTTTTCGGTGCGTCGGCTTTTCCAAACATGATTTTTCACCAGTGAAAAAGGCAACCGTATAAAATTGAAACTTTGTGGGCATGTACAACCGGACGACGTGCAAAGTCGCCAGATTCATCGAAAGGAAACAGGGACGGCTCATTTTCATCTTGAGAGAGCGCGATGACCTCAAGAAATCCCACTCCATCCAGGGAGATGCCTCCCGCTTTCGAAATGCACTCCATCTCGATGACGACTGCGACACGACGGATGTGAAGACGGCAGACCATGGAAAGTGAAAAAATTGCGGTCCGAATTTTAATTTATCCCTTTATATTCTCATTAATGATGTCTAATCGGCATGTCTGGATACAACTATATTGGTTGGAGGCCTGAGCCCATACTGTGTGAAAGGCATAAGACTACATCATGTCATCCATGGTCTCTTCTGTAAAAGTGCTAATTGTCGTCCCTTGGAGATGTGTCTCCTATGATGGGATCCCCTTTAGAACGGTATTTTCCTCGCCCTTAATCGTCACTCCTCAATTGATCAAGAACTTTAGATTAGGTGTTCCTAGATAAAATATTGACATCTACGAAAGCAAAGGGTTCTTCTGTGCGATAGGAAATGAGTCCATTGCGGATAGGAAGGCCCTTACATGTACTACCTGGGACTTCTCACTTGTCCCATGGGATATCTCTGGGACATCCTTCGGATACGGATATACTTGGGATGTCTTTACCTCTTGACATTGTGATATTCCTGAGATGTCCCCACGAGTAATGTCTGGGACTTGCCCAAGGGGATATATATCCCTGGGACATCCCTGGGATGTGCTATTTCTTCAAGAAAGGGACATCCTTGGGATGTCATTGGGCCCAGACATTTTGATATCCCTAAGATGTCCTTACTCCTTGTCTCTGGGACATCGCACTTGTCCCAAGGGGATATCTCTGGGAAATCTTTTGGATATACCTGTGCTGTGTGGGTAATGCATGGCTCAATTCCGTCGGAGGCCTTCTCTCATCCGTCAGTTTGGTAATCTTCGATAACTTTCATAACATATAATATATGGTATGATATGGTCAATTTATACAAAATATGAAAATGAAATATAGAACATAAACATTTAAAGTAGAATAGGAAAAGAGCTCAAAAATGCCAAAAAGTATATTATTCCAATAATGGCCTTAATTCAGGTCTTAAAGGGTTCATGTGGCATACGTTTAGATTCTCAGATGTTATTGGTTTATTGAGCACTCTATAATTCTTGACTTAAGCAGCCTCTATTTCTGCATGTTATAGATAAACGCAGTTCTGTGAGTCATACCTATTTACGTGTTGACCTCATATTATGAATAATGTTTATCCATGCACTCCCAACTTCAGCAATTTTGGGAACCTGTAAAGATCACTAGGTCTGATTTGCCCTAGCAACGAAACTCCCATTCTCTCTTTACTTTCGCTACTGGTGTCCGCCATTCCTGTTCACCGATTCATGTTCCTACTGTTCACAGGATTGTTTTCAGCGCATGCAACTAGTATGACAGTACGCATGCCTGTGAGGGTGTGAAGCACTGAGGTATAGAAGGAGACCTCTATCTCAGTGGTGTGAAGGCCAGGATTGAGTGGGCCTTTTCCTGCGAGTTGACCTGACGGTGCCTGAAGAACAGAAGCCGTGAAAAAGTGAACCAACTCCTATTTATAGGCTGAGGCCTAACGCTTGAGTGTTAATTATGGAATCTGGGAGACTAAATGCACCCGGAAGACCCAGCCAGAAATTACATGGGAACGGTGAGAGAAGACTTGAGCACTTTGTTAGATTTATGATACAATTTAGTTCGCAAATGCATCTTCTAGGTTAAATTCGTAAACCAAATGTGAAACCCATTAACGTAGATATTGGCCATAGGTTGCTTTTGTTAGGCCCTTCAACGTGAGCCTATGTAGGCAGCCCTAGACTGGTTGACCTATCGCTATGTTTGGGCAATCCTGTGTTTTAGAACTTAGAAGTCTTTATTGCTGCAGCATCTGTTGGCTGTGATTGCCCTGCTTGCTTTTGAGTTCTGTTTCATGCAGGGCTTTTAAAACCTATGGCAATATTCAGGGCTGCCTTTGATCCAGTTACATCCAGGACCAAATAATAATTATCTTCCTCTTATCTCTGCTGCTGCTCTTCTGAGAGTGCAAGCTGGCAGCCCTATGGCTTAGTACTCTGACATTTACCCTTTTCACTCACAAGCAGAATTGTATCCCATTAGGAAGAGTTGATATATGGGCACTTTGGGATTCTAAGGGTTAAGACTGAATTTTTTGGGTTCAATCCCAGCTTGCATAGGTCTTTTTTATTATTTATGTTTTTCCATTTACTTCAGCTGAGTTTTGAGCAGTTAGGAAGTCCAATAGTTTGGTGTTATATAAAATAGGTGGAGCCCTGGCATTAATAGGTATAGAGAAGGGGATGTTACCTTGGATATTATCAGTAGCTTTAAAAGAGGTTGAATATATCCTTGGCTGCTCTGGATTCAGTTATCTCCAGGAAAACCCTAACATTTCCTACATATCCTGGGTGACCTCATGATGCCTAATATTGCCTATTTCAGGACCATGTGGGAGTGAGGCCCTTGCCCATGGAACATTTAAATAGTTGAATTCAGTAGCATGCCCAGAAAATCCCAATGCGAGGGAGGTGAGGAGGTTGACAGGGTAACCCACCCTGCATAATTGGCCAAAGTAAACATTTTTTTGAGAATCGAACCTGTAAAATGTATTCCAAGGGGGGGTTATGACCCTCCAAAACCCCCCCTTCAGTTATGTGTGTGCATGTGGGGGGAGGTTGGGGAGAATGCTACTGCTTTTCAAACCTCAAAATTTTAAACCACAACTTGTACATATGGTTGAATTGTAAATATGTTAATTTCTTGATGTCTAGTTTTTGGAAACATTTAATCAGATTTAATTATAAAAATGATATTGAAATTTTCTGCAAAGCCTCCTTTTCATCAGTATTCCAGCTTCCTTCTACCCACGTGAAAATTCCATGTATGACAGGGTGTATGATTCTGTATGGTCATGTATGATCATATATTTGCCATGTACCATAATATATGTATTCATATATTAACAATTGTATGGTGCATAATATATTTTACCTGTCATTCACCCCATTCATTACATTTTTAAATAATTTATTTGACTCAGGGGAAGAAAAGATCAAACATTTTCTCTTTTGATATTCCAAAGAACACTGGGTCAAAAGTGATACACATCTTTTATATCTTTATACATAACCCTCAAAGTAATTTGCCAAAAGTTTGATTTTGAACTCCCCCAGCTGAAAGTCCTTGTTGGAAACAGCTATAATTTTCAGCTGAACCTCAGTTGGAAGTTCAGACCTATTCCAACTGGGTAGCAGCTGGTCAGATCCAGATTGTTCCTAATTGCAATACACTGGTAGAATGAGAATGTTTTTGTTGGTTATTCTTGCTGGAGGTCCGTCTACAGAAGCAGCTGAATTTCAACTGTAAATTCAGCTGCATTTCAACTGGAGGGTCCTCTGTATAAAATTCTAATGGTAAATTTCCAGCTGTAAAACAACCTGTCTCTACCATTTTTTAGCTCTTTGCCAGCTGGAAATGGTCAGAATATACAGTATCTGTCCACCTGAAAAATTCGAGTCAGGATTTCAAACTGAGCCCTACCCTCTCTAGGTAGCATAAGTGTATCGTGGATTGGATGGATTGGATTGGATTGGATGGAGTGGATTGGATAAAAAAGTGTGGGAGGAGGAGGGGGCATGGGAACTCTGGGACATTGTTATCATGTATCTTCTCCTTTGTATTAATGTTTTTTTTTTTGTTGTAATGTGGGGGCACATGCCATGCCATGCTGTGCCTTGCCTTCATTGAACAATTCCTTTATTGGATAATTTCAGAAAGAAATACAGTTTCTATTCCCATCTATCTTCTGAGTTGTCAGTCAAAATGAAGACACTCTTACATGAGTAAGCCAAGTTTTGTCTTGAAATAGCATTACTGATGAAAATACTTGTGAAGGTTCAAGTCTATAATTGAAACTTTCACCTTCATTAACAAGGGTGCATATGTTGAACACCATGAAACATGCATTCTTGGACTGTGGTCTATGAACAGTTGAAAATGAGTTGATTGCAAGTTAAGTATGGTGACTTGCATATGAATGATCATACAGTATTTGATGGATTATGGACCCTTTTTGGATACAGACATGTTTCAGGTAATCTCACCATACATAGGTATGACATGGCATATATGGACAGTATATGAAAATGTATGGGGTCATATATTTTCATTCTTATATTATTTTATGTGACTTGTGTCAAACCCCATACATGTTTAACATATGTTCATATATATGTATTACACTATATGGTCATATATGTCCCTTATATGTTAGACTGGTTAAATTTATGGCCATTTCATATATGGTCTTATGAAATTTTCACGTGGGTACTTGTTTCCTCAACTTTGATGACCCTAGACTTTGCTTTGCAAGGCTTTGCCTTGCATTGGTATACTAATCCTTTAGAAGAACTGGATGTGGTAATTAGTATAACTTGCCTTGGGTTATTGCAAATATACAAGTCCATAGTATATAGGTCTATAGTCAATATAATTGTTTTATAAGTCCTTTTGGAATGAATGGAAAAGTCTTGACTTGTTATTTTGTAGGGCTGGAGTTGCAATCAGTAGACAGGCTGAATTGGTTAATTCATCTACACTTTGTGAGGCGAGAGTATGACAAGTGCCGAGCCCTCATTGAGGAACAATTCAGTGACTCTAAAGGAACATGTGAATATGCCAATTATGCCATGGTAGGTTGAGGTTTGGAGAACTTACTGGTGATGACTATGAATTTTCATGATTCTTTGTTCGAAGAGTGTATTTTTACCCTCTAGGCACTGATACTGCGAGAGGAAGGGAAGATTCAAGAATCCTTTGAACTGTTTCAAAGCTGTGCAGTTCTCAATCCTTCAAGTATCAAAAACTTGAAGCAGGCTGCCAGATCATTGTGAGTGCCATTTCATTCTTTGCTTATTACATCAATTTGATGATAACCTTTAAGGTTGATTCGTCTAAGCTCTAATCTATCCAAAATGACTAAATCAGAGATTATGCAATACTGGTAGGCTAGTAAGAGGAGCTCAAGAGTCAGTTGGCCCAAATTAATTTTGCAAACACATGATGTACTGCACACCAAACACCTTTATTAACCTAATTAAATGTTCATATTAATGTCCTAATTCTACACTCTTCTAAAAAAATTTTGAAATGGATTAGTGGATATTCCAGTATTCCAGGTTGTCCTATGCATGAAATTTGGCTGTGATAAACATTTTAACCCTTAGGCTTCCATGGCTGAGTTACCTCATGTTGGCATAATGTCTTCTGCTCACCCAATCCAAAGTTGTCTGGCTTAAAATATATCCATTAAAATATTCAATTAAATGTAAAATTTTCTAAGCCACAACACTCTAGGTAGGATAGCTCCTGAGTTATACATTTATATACCAGAGATGGAAAAAATTTGGATTTGATAGTGCTGTCATATTTAAAATACTCGGTTGACAAAGGATTAAGCTTAGTTAACAAGTTGGTTTTCTGACTTTGCACCTCAGAATTTGGTGTTTTAAGACTTGCATTTAAGCAAAATAGATTATGTTTAAAGATATAAAAGATATGTATCACTTTTGATCCAGTGCCCTTTGGAATATCAAAAGAGAAAATGTTTGATCTTTTCTTCCCCTGAGTCAAATAAATTATTTAAAAATATAATGAATGGGGTGAATGATCAGAGGGTTTTTGAGGACTCCTCAGAAGATGACATAGAATGAGGATGAGTAACCCTTTCTCATGATATTCCAAGTTAAAGGGAAGGAGTTCAGAGCAGATGCATGGAAGGTGTAGTTTATAGCTTGTTGTTGAAATCCTCCCGCTGAGATGAAGAGAGCCAGTAAAAGTTCATTATTAAACCAACACTGCTTCAGCAAGGCAGCAAATGCAGTGTTCAATGGCAAGTGCCTGAATTCTATTTTGTTGGTCAAATTCCTCTGTAAGCTAGGAAGGAAAGGATCAGGGGTGTCTACTGGGGCTGCACTGTCTGGGCCACAAAATTGAGAACTTCTTGTGCTGTATGGTAGGCCAAGGCTGCTGCCAGGGGGTGTTGGACAGGGAGGTAGGGAGCTGTATAAATGAGCAAAGTGGGAATTATAGGTGGAAACTTTGTGTCTATGTCTGCTACAATCGTATGGGGAGCCCTTACCTCCCCTTATGTATGCTTCTGTTTTGGTATTGGAATTCTCCTCATCTTTAGCACAAAAAAATTTTACCTTTTCCAAATTTCAGTGCAGGCTATGCAGAAGCACATCATAGGCCACTCTTTGGGCACCTCAGAGTTTTATGTCAGTGAAAGAGCTGAAACCAGAACTTTTGCCCTCCTGAAGTTGGCATTTGACTCTTAGTTCTGTTAAAATCTCAAATTAATTGTAGTTGTGAACATAATAATCCATTTTTGCACCATTACCAGACTAAGATTAAAAGTTGATGCATTCCCAAGGTGTCATATGAGAAAGGATTTTTCTTTCATCCCCTCAATCCACTGCTGAATTTCAAATGCCTGGGATCTTGATGCTATGGCTTTAACCCTTTTGGTACAAGGTTTTCCATGGCTGGCAGTACCTGCCTTTTTTAAATTGGCTTTTTGGGTAGCAATGCATTGCAAAACTGAGATTTTTACATGCTGTAAATATGCAAATTAGTGTTTATATAGGATCATACTAACTTTCTTGATATTTGAGGGTCTATTGGTAGGTCCATTTTCCCTGAGGGTTAAAAACATGCTGTTGTACATGTACAGCCATGCCACTGAATTGGTTAATGTGATAACCGTGGCTATTTGATATTCAACACACTTAAACGTTTTTTTTCTTCATTTATATTTTTTTAATAAGCTGATTGGGGTTCATTTGACATTAAGCACCATCTGCATAGATGCTATTTGCATTTTTGCTAATCACTATTGCTTGTTTGCAGTGTTTTCATATCCAATATTCCATCACACATCATTTTGTTCCCGAGTATACAGGTAATTTATTTGATGGAGACCAATTCTGTATAGGTTCCTTCTTGGGAGGCATAAAGCAGCTATTGAAATCTACTCTGAGGCCCAGAAGTATTCTGAAGGAGATGCAGAAATACTCTATAATATGGGTATGACAATTTATGAAGTTAATTGCACAGCACTCACACTTCCCCCTCATTTATGCAATTCACCAATTGCAGTGCAACAAAGGATGCTTTGTCCATTTTTTTTATTTTGAGTACCTTGGACACTTAGCATTCCATTTTTTTTATTCTGCCACTGATTGGCATGAGTTGTCATGATGGCACTCTTCTTCAATGCATAAACATTTATAAGCACTTTTTGTTATGAATTGGATATTTTTTACATGGAACATGTCCTGAATGATTTGCATAGGTATGTATGTAAACTAGGAAAATTTTTGAACCATATGAATTCAGGAGAAACGTTGAAAGAGGGGACAGATGAGATAATGGGCATCATACTCTGTTTTAATACTTTTATTTAAAAAATCATTTTAGATTTTTCAAACAAATCTTTTACAGTTCTGGAATGAGTGTACCGATCCTATTTTGGCATGATATCTTTTTATTTCACAAACCTACGAGGGTGTATCAAAAAGTAAGGTTCCCTAATTTTTTTACTCAAAACTATCAGAGCTCACAAAATAATAAAAATGCTTGAATAATTTTTGCAAATATGTTGAAAAATAGTTGATGTACTCATATTTGTTCATCTGTATACATAATGTCTTGGTTTCTAAAATAAATAAGTTTGGAGCAGAAAAATTAGGGAACCTTATTTTTTGATACCCCTTGTATTTCATGGTGACAACTTGAGTTCAATACAGGAACTTAAGTTTTGATGTGAACCATATCCTGCAGGTTTTGGTGTGATTTTACAGTGCAGTAGGCCTGCAAGATGGCAACTGGAGCTTAAGGATTATATTGGAGCTGCACTTTCTTTCAGGTCTCTGCCATATGTATTTGGGAAACATGGATGACTCCAAGCACTTTCTTCGTGAGGCTTTGGGTCTTGAGAAGAGAGTGATCATATTTGAAACATTAGCCAAAATCTTTACTTTGGAGAATGATTATCAGGGAGCCATTGACATCTATAGAGCAGCTATTGAGTGAGTATTTTCTTGGACATTTCCCCTGGTATTATATTTAGTGCCCTTCATATCTATTTATGTAGAACCCAGTTTAATTATTGGAACAGTTGGCCCATTTATTTTTGCACTAGTATACTCCTTATATAATAATTTGTAATATTTTAGAAGGTAAGCAGTAAATATTCTACATTCATGTTGCATTATTATCCTTTGTTACTTCCACCACATCATTACAAGCAGAAAAAAGATGCTTATTATCTTTACATATTGATCAACAGTTTTTCTTTGGAGACCTGACCTGATCATTTGACATTCTGAACTCATGACCCCTTGATCCCCAATAATTTTCTCTAAGGCTTGACAGTACATACCAAATCATAGCATCTTCCTCATTTCTCTTCTTGAAAATCTTCTATAGGAGAGATTTTCTTAACCCAGAGCTGAGCCTAAACAAAGAAGCCATTTGGAGGTAGTCTTGAAAATCTGTTATTGTTGTTTCCATTTCAATTCAGTCTAAAGAACAATTTTCATGTTACACTTACTTAAAATTCTTCCAGGTGTGTCATGATAGAATCTCAAACAAAGGTTGTATTGAAATCCCTTATTGATGTGGATTTCATTAAGCCTAAATCAGTAGTTGCTTTTGTCTGTACTTTAAATGCATGCATCAATTCCTCTTTCTCAGGGCATTCCCAGACTGTGTTGAACTTTATACTCCACTGGGACTACTTTACCTGAAATTAGGCCATACCCAGAGAGCAATGGAGCAACTTGGAACTGCCCTGAAATTGGATCCCCATCATACCAAGTATGGACTTGCAGAAACCTAGTGTACAGGATTTTAGGAATTAATTTGTTTTTATGTGCACTATGAGGGTAGTACAAATGAAAACTGGAAAATCTCTTTGGTTTTTTAGTCATAAATTCAATATAAAATTTGCCGAGTGGCCTGAAGAAGGTGGGCACTTTGTATCATTCAATGCAGCAATCAGGCTTGGTAGACATATTGATCCTGTACATGTTGTGAAGATGGTATCTACCCTTGCACAAAGCAAGAGATTGATTCATTTTTTGGTTTTAGAAAATACACAGGGCATAGATATTAGCTGCAAAATGCAGGAAGGTATGGTGACAATTGCATGTCACCATGGAGTGTGTATATATACGTAATAAATTTTTAATTGGGATGTGAAGCAGAATTTCAACAATTGTATGCACATTAGGTTCCTCAGGTGTTGAGGCATTTCACTTCCCCATTGGAATTTTGCTATGCACTTGTATGTACTGTATCAACTTGCAATTGTCACCATACAGATCCTGCATTCTGAAGTGAATACCACTACCCTGTGCATCCCTTGCTTTGTGCACCCCTTAAGGGTAGATGATATCTTTGTGACAATATTCCCAGCATCCAGTATGTCTATACCAAGCCCTACTACTGCATTGCCTGTTTATTATTTCATTTTTGACCCACTTGCCATGAGACTTTCCTGTTTTCTATTGTACTCCTCCCTTGTAAGTGCTTTTAGTGGTATGAACATTGAAACTGATCTTGTCTCTATCCTGTTCTGCATTCAGGGCCATCTTATCCTCTGGTGCAATTGTGCAGAATCATGGAGACTTGGAATCTGCTCTGAAGAAGTATCGTATAGCAATACAAAGGATCCCTGATTCTGGACCAATCTGGAACAATATTGCCATGTGCTTCTATGGGAAGAAGAAATTTGTTGCTGTAGGTTTCTCCAAAAAAATTATTTTCCTTTTTTGAAGTCATATTTATGCTCGTAGCCTTATCTGCCTTCCTAGATTACTGCCACCTGCTGAGCTAAGATATTTTTTTTATGTTTCAGGGCATCAGCTGCTTGAAACGAGCCCTGTATTTGACTCCATTTGACTGGAAAATACTTTACAATTTGGGCTTGGTTCATATTACTATGCAACAGTATGCCTCAGCATTTCATTTCTTGTCTGCTGCTGCCAACTTGCGCCAAAAGCCAGCAGTCTTCACTCTCCTAGCCCGTATGTGTAGTTTTTTATTTTAAATTAATTTCACTTGAGTTTTTCTTGTTTTTACTGCCTGGGCCAGCTTTCATGCCTGTATATTTAGTAGTAATGAAGAATGCATGGGGTAGAAAGTGTTCATTCATTTGCTGCAGTTGCCCTTGTGCATCTTGATGATCCTGAGAATGCAAAAGCTGCATTTGGAGAAGCCCTCAGATTGGAAAACGCAGACTCTCATCGGATGGATCCTTATTTGTCTATTAACTATGCCCTCTTCATGCAGTCCCATGAGGCATTTCAGCGATTCATTGACCAGCTTTCTAAGCATCGAAAGAAACAACTTGACCCAGAGGTATGGAACATCTTCAAATCCATAAATTGAGGAAGTTTTACTGTCACTGATGCTACTTAGCATCAGTTGCTAATTCAATTTATGACTAATATCTCAGCCTTCTCCTCCAAAAGTTACCATTAGCATAAAAAAGTGTTTCTTAGGAGCACTATAAGACTCTTTCATTTGTCTGGAAATGCTATCTGTGAAACATATATTTCATGAGAAACCATGAAAAGATTATAAAGGAAATGACCTTACCCCTTGTGCTACTCAGCCTCTAACTCTTGAAGGCATGAAAATTCTTATGTACATGATTCATAAATTTAGAATTTTAGTTTAAATACATTTGTAAGTTATCTTAAAGCCAATATTATTTACCTCTGGAGAGTATGCACATGATTGTACCCTCCAATTCTATAATAGGTCCTATGAGTATCTTTGTGAATATGAGGCAAGCAGAGCCAAGAAAACACTGAGATATTGGAAGGTCCACTTGATATCTTTTCAAAAGATCCAGGTATATCATCAAAGTTTGATACTGTGTATTAACACTGTTATCACTGATAAATAATAAAGTTAACTTTTATTTTTAAATTTATTCAATTTTAAATGTATTATTATTTCTTTAAATAAAGAAATAAATGTTTTTTGTAAAAATAAAAATGAACTCACACTCCTTGTGCTAGGGTGGTGGAAAATACCTCCTGAGAAAGCTGAGTTTGACCAAAAACAAAAGTTGCCTTTGATATCTGATCATCACACAATGTTATGAGAAAAATTAAACTTTGTTTGATCAATGTGTGCCTTAAAATGGCTCATTTAGCAGATTTCAACAAATTTCAGGACAAGTGAACATTATCTTTCAAGGTGTGCAACACAAATTTTTTTCCTTCATTACCCTGATTAAAAATTTATTGTTTCATTCTTGATGCATCATTTCTTCCACTCAATCCTTCACATTTGAGCCCATGTGCATGGCGATTAAATGAGTTCCACAGCCTTTCTTTATGTCCAAAGAAGTCAATGTCATTTTCCCACTCATGACTACTGGAAATTTCTGTTCTAATGGTTTGATGGTTATTGTGAGTGCTTCAAGGGTCTAACACCTTTAAGCTGATGATTAATATCACTCAAAATTATGTTCCAGTTTTATTTCACCCCACTTTCATCTCTACTCAATTTCTTTGAAATCCACTTTTCATGGTGAATGTTGCACCCTCATAGCAATTTTCCAAGACATGTTTAAGACATGCTTGATGTTTGAGATGAAATGGTTCATTATCTCCTGGGACACCAGTCAATTTTTTAATCAAGTTGAAAAATGCAAAAATATTACCTTATAATGCCCCTTCTTACAACATTGGCAAAGACTATCTGTGTTATGCTTGGCAGGCTCCAGGAGGGGGCCAAACATTATGCAACACCCTGTACACACCTCATATTTCTTTTCCATGTAGATAGCTGAAGCAGGGAAACTTCTTGCAGAAAAATTTGGGATTGCCTTCGAGCTGGATGAGAAGAAGCGGCAGAAGAAAGAGGACTTGGAAGATGAACAAGAAAGGGAAGATGTTTAGCTTTTGTGGAAAGAAAGTGTGATTCCATCAATAATTGCAAAGGTCCAATGTTTAGATGGCACCTTCTAAATCTTTGACGTTGCCCTTTGACTGGGTACACTTCACTGATCAGGATGCTAAGTAAAATATGGTGATTGAAGGCAGTAATTTCTGTTGCATCAGTGTGTTGGTGCACATTATGGCAGTGGCATCAGTCTGACAGGTGTGGATGGTGTCTAAGGTCTCCTTGGAAGGTTGAGATCTTAATTTTTTCTTTATTCTTATATGTAATATTGGCATTGCTCTGTGTGGACAGATGAGTAAAGAGGCTTTCATGGTCTTTTGAAAAATGAAACTTTTTTTTCTTCCTGCCTCCTGTTGGTAAATCATTTAACCAATTGAAATGAAGTTCCCAGATCCTTACCTACCATCAGTAGGTCTTTTGCTTCCCAATTGGTAGGCTCACTTTTCAACTTTGTGCAAGGGATGCTTTGAATGGGCAGAGAAAATAAACCACTCTGACCAGAACTGCTTATGAAACATTCCTATTGCTTGTCATATTGCTTTGGGCAATTCTTATGATGTTTCAAAGAACTTTGTCCAGAGATGAACCAAACTGATTTTGCTTAAAAATGTCAAGAGTTTGTTATACTTTAACTCTTTTGAACAAGGCCATGAGTCTTTGTCTGATATTCCTTATGTTGATTCTCCTTACTATCAACAGATCTGTGGGGTGAAGTGATTTGCACTGGGCATATGACCACCTAACCAATTGACTGTTAGTCAGTAAGTGCCTGTATAGTGACGATATTTCAAAATTGGAACTGCCTCCAAATCGGGTTATTATGTGTATGCTGATATCTACTGACTAATCTTAAAACTATTTTAAATACACTCCAGCATGGATAGCTCAACTCGCAAACACAGCAGACATGACACTCATCTCCATAATAGGTAAGCATTTGGGAAGAACTTGTTGTCTTTGTACATGAGGAATAAGTATGGATGTATTTCTGTTACTCTCATGTCTTTTTGCACTGTCACATTGGACAGCATTGCACGCAGATAATGTCCCTGTTTCAAATCATTAGTCCAGTGAAATTTGCTGAATCTTGTGATGAACAGACAAAAAATAATAGCTTGTGTCATTCATTTTCCAATATTTTCTTATTTGTCCTCATGTATTCAACTTCCCCAAGTTATTGCTACATACCTCTACCATAGAAAGCTGGGGATTTCTTGAAAGTTGTTCAGGGAGTGTAAGAATGACTCTTTCGGAGTGCAGCCAACAATGATCTTCCTTTGAGGACTTTCTGCTGTATTTGCCTTAAAAAAAAAAAAAAATGTGCATATGTAGACCTGTTGATGTAGCTTTAAACATTTTACTACTTCAAAGACTAACAGGATTGATAAGGTGGACCCAAAGCACTGCATTTGTCTAAGTCTGAAATAATTCCATGCAGTCATTTCAGGCTTTCACAAGGTTTCTACTGCTATATCATGTATTATCCTTGTGTTTCTGCTTTTAAGATATCTATAATTGTGATTAATTCTCCATAATACTACAACTGTCTCTACTTTTTTGACAAATCACTGGTAAAGCCTATGCCATATATCCTGAATACTTCTTTCAAATAACTTCTCGGATGACTTGAGCATCTTTATGTTTAGTTGGCGACCAGGAAGTTGTCTGCAGACTTGCTCCTCTTGGGGATTACAATCTAGAGTTTTGAGTACAAGTAGGTCACATGCTGGGAGGACAAACTATGGTTAAAAGTGATGTGTCAGGTAGATGCTATTCTCAAATGACTTGAACAATTTGCATTTTTGTCTTTAGAAGAGACAGCTGCAGACCCACAGTCTTCAATTACTTGCAGAACAAAGCATGCTTTTGAAGATATTTAAACTGTTCATGATCAATGTCAGGTGTCACTAGAGCATAATTTTTCAGGAAATTCTGCTGTTCCATTATGCTCGAGTTTTCATAAACTATTTCCAAACCCTGTTTTATATCACCTCTTATCACAAAACCTGTTTGTTTTCGTTGCCATGCACTGAACTAGACAACTCTGTCACTAAGGGCCGTATCCAAGAACCTAAGAAGCCCATGTTAAATCTAGTCAGACTTGCAAGAAATCCAACTAAATGTGTTTCTAGAATACCGGGTGGCCCCAAAAAAGTCCCAAACTTTACACGCCTGCAGATGGAATGCCATATGAGTTATCGACAGGAAATTTACAGGGTTTCACATTTAATATTTGCAGATGTCACAAAATTCTCAATGAAATTGGTTGTTAACTACCTGAGTAACAATTTTTCTTCCTTGTGATGTCAAAAGGGAGAGTGGAAAGAAGTGCGACTGACTTCAGAGAAATGTTTGATGGGTCCTCCATTGATGTGTCCTCTGGCGATCCCTTGCCGTGGCAGCACTTAATATACAGGGTGTCTGAAAAGTCACTCCCTATTTTTAAATTGTTATTGCTCCTAAACCAAAGGCGATATTAAAACATTTCTTTAACTGAATTGAAGCTTATTTTTTACCGTTTACTTTATAACAAAATTGAAAAGCTTTATTACAAAGTTAAAATTCAACGTAGGCTCCAGCATTGTCCACGCACTTCTGTAACCTTACCGGTACATTTTCAACAGATTTTCTCAGGAAGTCACCCGGTGCATTGCCTAGAATATCACGAATTTTGTTTTCAAGTTCATCAATGGTCCTTGGTTTTGATTTTTAAACTTTTTTTCGATCAGCCCCACAGAAAGAAGTCGCACGGCGTTAAATCTGGACTTCGAGCAGGCCATTCCGTTGGCCTTCGACGACCTATTAAATTAAGTCGCTGGTTGTCTGAAAAGTCACTCCCTCTTTTTAAATTGCTATTGCTCCTAAACTGAAGGAGATATTGTAACCGTTTTTTCACAGTTTTAAGCTTAATCATTACCATTTCTATTATAAGTGAATAATGACTGAAAAATTAAGCATAGAAGAACGAGCGACTTAATTTAATAGGTGGCCGATGTGGTTGGTGCATGTCACCCATTACCTGTCGTCCTCGAATTTCGTTGTCATTCAGGGCCAGGGTCGATCATACTCTGGAAGCTGAGCGGAAATATGTGGTTCGTCAAAATTGTGCAATCGTTAGAAAATTGTTGATGCAGATGATGCGCACATCAAGAGTCTGGATTTACTTTCCGATTGCCGACACGCATACGCGCTCTTGGTCTGTCTGCTGCTAAGTAGAGGTGTGCGCAGTAGAGGTGTTGGCGTGAGTGACTCTTCCTTTCCACTTTCAAAATGATATAAATACATATTTCATTCAGATATTGTATTTAAGAACTAGTAAATGGTAAGAAACTGCGTAGTAGCCGGACGACACTTGATTCACTTGGCAGTTTCTTGTTCGCAAGTTCTCGTGGAGAAAAATCAAGTCCAAATTTTCAGAGGTTGATCCAGAATCTGTAGAGCACTCGAAAAAACCCTCACGCCTAGGGTCGAACTTGTGAGAACACAGAGCATTTCCTCCTTTGCATGGCATGCTAGGCCGTGCAATGGTCGAACAGGGAAATGAGGTCTCAGATGGCGAATGATAGGGAAATAAAATACGTTTTTTAAATATTATTTCTCCATGGCTCCAGAAAAAAGGTTTTCATGATGTTTTGGACGTTCCCAAGGGTTCGAATTTATGGGGCAGACTGGAAGAGTCCTATCCAAACCGAGGCATATGTTTGGGAGATTCGGAAACCGACCAGGTAGCTCTGCTGGCAACAAAAAAAAAAAGAA